GTTCTTTATACTGTTTCCTAGAATAGCTAGGAAACAGTTCTTGTAGCTTTTCTAGGAAACAGTATACAAGAACTATACTGTATACTGTTCTAGCTGTTTCCTAGACAGCAGGTGACCAGGGGGTATGGAGTGGTTGCACAAGAGAAGATGCTAAATGAGACTGAGTGACAATAGACTTGTTAGTCTTACCAATGGTCTCAGCTAGTTCTCTATTCTACGTCTGCCTGGAAAGTGCTACTTACACACAGTAAGGGAACTTAAAAAGGTACTAAGTTGATAGGCTCAAAAACACACATACATACACTCCTCTAATGTCTTGCTCACCTTCACTAGAACTGTTTTCAGGAGCCAAGGATCATGGCAATGTCATAAACAGAGAGCGTAACTGGAGATAACATATTGGGTTTCTACTGCTGCATAACAAATTAACACAAACTTAGTGGCTTAAAATAATACAAATGTATTATCTTTGGGTTGTGGGTCAAGACTCCAGACAGGCTTGGCTGGGTTTACTGCTGGAGCCTCTCAGGAAGAATCCACTTCTAAACTCATTCAGATTGTTGCTGGAAGTTATTTCCCTGTGGCTATAGAATGAAGGTCCCTGTTTCCTCACTGGCTGCCAGCCAAAGTCCATTCTCTACTCATTCCACCTGCTTTTTTTCCCATGTGATCCCTTCCAAGTTAAAAACAGTGACACTTTAGGTCCTTCTCACACTTTGAATCTCTCTGTCTTCCTATTCGGCCATGCAGGAGAAAGCGCTCTTGTTTTAAGGGCTCATGTTATTATTTGGGCCCACCTTGAAAATCTTGGATAGGGGCGCCTGGGTGGCGCAGTCGGTTAAGCGTCCGACTTCAGCCAGGTCACGATCTCGCGGTCCGTGAGTTCGAGCCCCGCGTCAGGCTCTGGGCTGATGGCTCAGAGCCTGGAGCCTGTTTCCGATTCTGTGTCTCCCTCTCTCTCTGCCCCTCCCCCGTTCATGCTCTGTCTCTCTCTGTCCCAAAAATAAATAAACGTTGAAAATCTTGGATAGTCTATCTTAGTGTCAACCATGCCACATAACATAGTATATTCAATAAAGTGCAATCTGACCATACACATCGTTTCCTGGGCTAAGGGCAGTATGCATCTTTGGAAGGCCATTTTAGAAATTTCACCAATGCTTTGGCATTTCAGTATTAAACTTCCATAAAAGATACAGATATGTTTAATTTTACTGTATGACAAAGAATATTTAAAGGTGTTTTTAATTTTTTTTTTTTTTTTTTTTTTTTTTTGTAACGAAGCAGAGGAAATGGAGAGAGAAGAGAAAGGAGAGAAAATTAAGAGAGTAAGAATCAAGTTTCTTCTGAAATAAAGGTAAGGAACATAAAATATGTCTTTCTGGGATTCCAGATAAAGAATAAAATATATAAGTAAGACTCCTGTAGAGAACTGTCAGTTTAAAAAGCTAGACTGAACTTATGTTTATCTCTGTGCCCTCTCCCTCTACACTCCACTGAAATTACTTAAAAGAAAAAAAATTTTTAGGATGTCCCTGGAACCACAGTGGAGGGGACGGCCATCTTGCCAGCGCAACCCAACGGAAAGCCCCAAGCGGCAATCGCGACCTGGTGCGAAAAAAGGCCCGCCCCCAAATGCTGCAGCTTAAAAACCCCACTCCACCACACCTGGGCGCGACTTCCCTGACTCCTCTCTCTCTCTCTCTCCCTGAGTCACGGAACCTCACCAGAGACCTTAGTTCCCAATAAAGCCTTTGACTGCTAAAATTTTTTAGCTTCTGACTCTTATCTTTACCCTGCCCTACGCCTGACTTTAACAAAAATAAATAAAAATGGTGCAAAACATGGGCATAAACGGTGTAAACTAACAAATACAAAGAAGGCAAGGGAGAAGTATTGACAACAGAGGTCAATGAAGTTTTGGAAGATGGAAAACAGGTTCATGAAATTGACTTAGCCAAGCAGACAAAATTTAAATCCAGATGCCACTAGAAGAGGATAAAGACCAGGAGAGGCCAATTCACTGTATATTATTTAATTAAAAAGTAGAGAGCACTCCATTTCTCTCCCACCATAAGAAGTTGATTGCTTTTTGAAAGCTGGTAGTACTCCCCTTGAAAACTAAATGCCCAGCATGGTCTCAATTTGTTGAAATGCATACAAACCCATTAAGTTAACAAGAGTGAACCTCTCAACATTCTTGGTGCTTTTCACTGAAAGGCAAGTGTCCCTATACTGATTCTTCTGTCTCAAGGTCAGTTCATTAGCTTGTCAATGGCTCTCCAGTGAGTTCAATGGAAGTACCAACTGACACTGATCAAAGTTGAAAGAAACAGGGCTGGCCTGAGGCTTCCACAAGGCTTCAGGGTTGTTTAGCATATTGTGCAATTCTTAGGACCAGGGGAAACCTTGTTAATTTTCATTCAGTCCCTTAGGACAAGGCATTTCTCATTGTGCAGAGATTTATTCAGATATACTCAAGAAGCAGCTTTTCCTTATCTTCAGAAGATTTGCTTTTTACCTTATGTTTGGAAACTCTCTCTTAAAATACCAGAGGGACAGAGAGAGATGGAGAAATGGAACACATCCCAACAGAAAATCGATGCTATAATATACATGTTCAGCCGTTTCTTATTAAATAAGAAATATCGGAGTCAAAAGTGAAAACATAATGGCTATGATGGATGGTGGGCCATAAAGGTGATCTCTGAAGCTGTCTCGCTTCTCCATAACAGAATGATATCCCCCACATAGATGTGTGTGTACCTAAACTTGTGCTGGTTCCACTTTCTTGGCTGGGCTTCCTCTGCTATACCTCCATTGCTTCTACTCTGACTTTTTTCTCTCCTTCTAGTTAAAGGTTCAATATTCACTGAGTCTTTTTTTATACATAATACAAAAATAAGTTGTTTGGGGATGATGACCTGTTAGAAAAGCTGAGAATTGTAAAATCTAAATAGAATTAAGCAGTGGACTGGACTTTTTCCTCTCTAGTCACCTACATATAATATATTTGTTAGAACTTGGTGGGATCTAAATGAAATTGGGCTAAAGGAAAAATGATTAAACATAAGCTAAGATGCATGGGCAATTTTTTTTCAGATTACCAGGCATTATGTTATAATGACATTGATAACATGGTGAAGGTTTGGTGGTTGGTAAAAATATCCAAGATTTAATAGATTCTGAACAATCACTTAACTAAGAGTATCTTTTAATTCTTTAACAATTCATAAAGCCCTTCAAGTTTTCTTTTCATATCTCCCATATATATTAATTTGCTGTCCAGAAGAGGAACAACCATTTATACTGTAAGTCAGGTGAAATATGATACAAAAGGATGGGGCGCCTGGGTGGCGCAGTCGGTTAAGCGTCCGACTTCAGCCAGGTCACGATCTCGCGGTCCGGGAGTTCGAGCCCCGTGTCAGGCTCTGGGCTGATGGCTCAGAGCCTGGAGCCTGTTTCCGATTCTGTGTCTTCCTCTCTCTCTGCCCCTCCCCCGTTCATGCTCTGTCTCTCTCTGTCCCAAAAATAAATAAACGTTGAAAAAAAAAAAAAAACAAAAGGCAATCAATGTATTAGTTAGATATGCCTTATTGATGTGATGGTGTCTCTTTTTTGTTTTTGTTCTTATTTTATAGCAAATCCCACATCCACTGAAGATGATATGTGGAAGTAACTAACATCCCTTAAATATCAATTGTTTATTTATTAGCACTACCACAAATAAGACGAAAAAGCAGTAATAACAGAGTAATCTAAAAGAATATGAATGTTCTAAAATCTCATGGAATAATAAAAATCAGAATCTAAATAATTTTATCTATTTCAGGGAACTAATATCAACTGAATTTGTGCATGGGTTTGAGCTTATTTTTCCAGTGATGGTGTCAAGCTTATAGGGAATATCTATGTTGCTCACCTCTAACCCTCTATAACCAGCAGCAGTCATTTGTGAGATGGTTAGTATTATCTATATTTCTTAAGCATTACAACAAGTTCATCATGTCTCTCAGTCTAGGGTATCATTTTTGGTTCTTTTGCATCTGCTAAAAACTGGAGCTTGGGACTCTAAAAGCCTTGACCCTGTGACAGATATCTTAGATGCACTTGGGCTGGTCACTTTATCCTTTAACTAACAGAAACTATAACATTGAGAGTAATTTACACTTGTTTTCCCTTATTGTGCACTTCCCATGCTTCTTCATTTACTAAGCTCAGAAAAACATTCAGGTATATTTATGTCTGAAATGTCTGTTGAATAGAAATCTGGTGGAGGACTCCAAAATAAAAGCATTTAGAGTAAGTATAACATAGCACAAAGGATGTTGCAGATCTTACACAGCTCTGTGTCATAAACATAGTTGACAACAGTGATATTCCTGCCTCATACAATTTAACAAAGGCATCCTTTTCATGGCTTTATAATCCTAGGTTAAATAAGACCCAATCAGGGTCACTGAATTAGCCTAGTAAACTCCTAGTCATCCTTCAAAACTTTCCTAAATAGAAGTCTTTTCCCCAGTCCCTATAAGAATTATCATCACCCTCCTCAGGATTCAAGTTTTAGCTTATAGCTCTTTGGAATTATGATAGGTAGCACTTTTGTCCCTCAAGGCAAAGATCGTATCTGTTTCACCTTAGCAATCCAGGAATCCAGCCTACTACTTAAATTCATTACATGTACATTCTTTCAATAAATGAATGAACAAATGAACTGAAAACAGTTGTTTTAGAAAAATTTCTTCCTTCAGGCTTTTCACTTTAAGGTACTGAAATATAACATCTTCAACAATCCAAAATATAGAATACTCATAAGAACACAGACTTAATTTTAAAAAGTCTTAATTGAGAATTTATGTCTATAAATGACTCTCTGAGTTTTTGTTCTTATCTTCAGAAGCAAACAGATTATATGACTCAGTGGAAGTAGATTAACATTTGCAATACACACGCTAGAGATCAGCCCTTGTTTAGATGTTTTTACAATTAGTACTTACCCATAGCCAGTGATTCCCTTTGACTGAGTTACCAGTAAGGCACCAATAGTTGTATTCAGAACATTCTCTAGTACTCCAGTTTGTTGAGCAGTGATAATCTGGTGAGCCAAATTCTGTAATTTCTTACTTGATAAAGATGAAATCAGTCCAGTGCTCCTTATTGTTGCCAGGTCACCAATTTCAATGACTACTACTTTTGAGATGGTTTCCATAGTAGTTGGTGGCGGAATCCTATATGAGCTCGTTTCCATCATAAGAGGTCTACGTTGACCAACTCTGTAATGACTGGCACAAGTCACAGTTGGGCAATTGAGCTTTCTCTTTGCTTTATTGTCAGCAATGGCCTTTAAGGTTGCTTCACTGCCAGGCATCTCATGAATAAATCTGATTTGGTTTTGGCTAACTTGCAAGAAGTCAGTTAGTCTTTCAAGGATGAGGATTTCCCAGCCTTTTTCTAGGACTGGAAATATCACAGTGAAGGCCAAATGAATGGAAACACCTGAGCGTATTTCAATAGGCTCTTGTCCTTGTAGGACAACATACAAGAGGTTATCCAATATGCTGAAATAGTTGGAACCAGAAGACTCATCCAGCAATGAGGAAGTTGATTGAACCAGAACAGGTGGAATGAAACTTTCCCCTATGAAAACACGGGGGCTCTGGAGTTCATGGTAGAATATAGCTAAGAGAAGCTTGGAGGTATTTTTGTTCCCCGACAGAAGAAAACGCAAAACTTGGGGAGTCTGATCCACAAAGCACACCTTGGTGATTTCCCTGATGGGTAAAATGGAATAGAAACTAGATACAGACCCTAAAGTAGAACAAGGGGTATTGGCATTTACACTACTAAAGGTGTCAACAAAACCATTAGTAACAGATACAACTGGATATAACTTCTGCATTGTCCAAGTGGCATCAGCATTGTCAAGAATTAAGATCACCTGGTCAGTTTGTTTGCAGATGTAGCCTAGTATGAAGGGTTGGTATGTGCATTTCTGTTCTTCTCTAAATGTACCTATAAAATAAAGAAAAATAAGTGATGTATAAACTACAATCTCTCAAAGATAATTTGTAATCCATTACTCTTATTATCATCTGTAACCTCATGAAACATTTATTGAACTTTTAAGTGTGTTAGATACTGACTATGCAAAGCAGTCTGGGTAAAATATGAAAGGGTAAAATATGTTACATCACCTGTATTATTTAAAGGTAATAATGGACATAATAGCTAGGTGAAAAAAGAATTAAATAAGTAAAATTATTAAGGAAAAGGAATAATCACTAAGGCCTCCATAGTGGGAAAAGGATAGGGGAGATGGGCATAGTAATATGTGAGTCAATGAAAAAAGAGGTAGATTGAGGGGGCTGGAAAAGAGATTTTATAGAGATATATTAAAATTGAAGAGATATACTGAGTCCAGATTGTGAAAGAGTTTGGATTTCAGACTATATAATTTTCTCATTCTCTTTTTTTCCAAACATGAAGAGTAAAAACAATACAAAAGGAAAAGAAGAAAGTAGCAATTTGGGAGTCCTGACATTAAATAGAGCCCAAGTTGAGTATTATTGGGGCTAATCAAGACATTTAGACAAACAGCGTTGTCCATTATTCCCATAATTCCTTTCATTTTTTTTAAAAGTAGACTCCATGCCTAACATGGGACTCGAACTCACAACCCCAAGATTGAGTTGTATGCTCTACTGACTGAGCCAGCCAGTCACCCCATATTCTCACCATTCCTAATCCACTTGTCTCTGAACCATGAGTAATTCTTATTCTGAATTTACAGGGATAGTTTAACTTCTAACAAACAGAATTCCTTCAATTTAAAAGCAATATTCACAAAATTATCTTGTGTTATTTTCAAGATATTTTAATTTTCCTTCAAGTGCAATGTCATCAATTTAGCCTAAGGATTGGAACAAAAAAAAATCTAATTATTATTAATGGAGGGTGTACTACATTTGGGCATGATACCTCCTCCATATCATACCTTCCATATGATATGTGCCAAAGCTGCCTATGATATTAATAAATTTAATTACCTAAGTGTTGCTTTAGGAGTAGGCCACATTGCATACTTGTGCCTCAACAATAATAGCAACAGTAGTAAAAAAATATGAGTCAATATTTCAAACTGAATAATAATGAAATTATAGCATATCAAAATTTGTGTGATTAAGTGCTTATATTACAAAAGAATTGTGTAAAAGCAATATCTTAATGCTCTGCCTTACAAATACAAATTTAGCAAACAAGTAAAGAAAATCCAGAGTAATGAGGAGAAAGGAAATAATAAATATAACAACAGAAGTCAGTGAAATAGAAAAGAGAGAAACAAAGAAACAAAAACATAGAAAGTAAACAAAGCTAAAATTTGGTTCTTGAAAAACATCAACAAATTAGTTAACCACCACCCCCCCCAACCCCCCGCTAGACTGATCAAGATAAGAAAGAAGGGTGCCTGGGTAGCTCAGTCAGTCAAGGGTCCAACTCTTGATTTTGGCTCAGGCCATGATCACACAGTTCATGAGATCAAGCCCTGTGTTGACTCTGCATTGACAGCAAGGAGTCTGCTTAGAATTCTCTCTCTGCCGCTCCCCTGCTCACACTTGCTTTCTCTCTCTCTCTCTCTCTCTCTCTCTCTCTCTCTCTCTCTCTCTGAAAATAAACAAATAAACTTAAAAAAAAAGATAAAAGAAATCATAAATCACCAATTTCAGGGAGGAAAGGATTATTACTACAGACCCTACAGACAAAGGTTTAACTATTACAAACTTCATGCCAACAAATTCAGCAACTAAGAGGAAACAGACAAATAGAAAACAGACACATGATAAAACAGAAAATTCAAATTGCTCTAATTTTCTTAAGTAAACTGAGTTTACTAAATTGACTACTAAGTTATTAATTTAGAGATTTAATTATCAAATATAAAAGAATGGTCACTTTTACATAATATGTTTTCTCCCTGTGGTCATATAATATGGAAACAATAATGTTAAATCACGAATTGTTTTCAAATGCATCACACCAGTCTGAAGGGAATTAATTGCTTGATCTTAACAGACATGGAAATTGTGCCCTGAGATTCTGATACAACGGTCTCTACTATAGATACATCATTTTCAAATAAGATAGTTAGGTAGACTTCCCTCATGAAAAACCCTTCAATCACACTAGTTCCCCTTTTCTAGACTTTACAAATTTTTTTCCTTCTTTTAACAATTTTTTTCCAGTCATGTTGATTCCTGTTGATTAATCATTCACCTTTCCATTCAGTTTTATAGATCTCTGATTTTGTTCTCCCTTCTTTTGATTCAGGAGATATATTGTCTTTTAAAGTCATCTCTACAGATCGCTAAATTTTTGGAAGTGTCCCTAAATAAAATAATCACTCTCTTAGTTGAAATGATTCTCAATCATTCTCTGCTATTAGCTATATGTAGTTTGATAAATTATATAGACTTAGTAGGCATCAGTGTCCTTAAGGGGTTATTTCTCAAGACCAGGGACTATATCTCCTATTTAAATTACCACAGGGCTTAACACCCTAACTCAAACACAGTAGATGCTTCTTAATATGTATTAGTTGATTGATGTGTAAGAACTCTTATTTTTCAAATATGTTTTATCTATTGTTGCCAGGTATCTAGTTATAAGATTATTAGTCTATAGCTTGAATACATTTTAAACCAACATATAACAATAATAACTAAATATACTACAAAAAAATATTGTGAGAATTGCCCCCTGAGTTGGTGCTAATACATGAGAGAGCTGAATACTTTGAGAAATCCATCTATTTTCACATGAAACCTTAAGATTGAAATTATGACTGATTATATTTATATCAATTTTCTTATGTTCCTAAATTACATTGATTTGACCCTAAAAGAATTCTGTTGTGACAAAGCATTTTTTTTCTTGACTAATTCATTAAATAAATACAGATGGAGAAATTTGAGGTTTTATTTATTTCTATTCCTGATGTCAGGTGCCTTCCAAAGCTAAAATTAAAAAAAATGGGATGATTTATAATGCAATTCAAATATTCTTTTATATAATAAGGTATAGGAGCTATACTAGTAGAATGCACACCTTCAAAGTAGTTCTGTGATAGAGTTCTTTTCATTCATTTATTTATTTTTATTTATGACTCCGAGAAGCTAGTCCACTAGAAGGCTGGACTCCCAAGCCATCTCTACCCTCAGCATCCAAAGCTCCCTATTCCCTTTTTCAGCAATGACATTGAAGGGAGCAGAATATGATAAACAACCTATGTTGCAGGTGAGACCTTAAGAGGAAGAATAGGAAGGAGAAAAGAAGGGTTTGAATAGGAAGGGTAAGAGAAGGTTTGAATGCACAAGTTCCAGAAAGCACAATCTGTGCTTAATGTCTGTGTTGCAAAGCACATGTACACACTGGAGGATCTAGGACTCAGGCCCATGAACAAGCTCAGGAATAAGATGAGAGAAGTCACTGTCAAATTTTCATAATCTGTTGGAATTTTGTATGAGTTAGATTATGAACCCCAGAAACCCAGGCAAGAAGTTTAATAAACATTTGCTGAATTCCTTTTGCATGCTTAATCTGTTAACAGGAAGAAGATTTTGTCACTATGTCACCTCTCTCTTCACTGTTAGGAGTGAGTTACCTTGTCATTATTAAGCACTGTGATGTGATTAAAGATTAAATGCCAGGCACATATGGCTACTCAGATATGCAGGAATTATTTGTTTATTTAAACTTAGTTATCTTTCTTAGATTAACTAGTGCAATGCCAATTATATGCATTGTGTCTAATCCTAATGTCTTCCTTTTTTATATTTTGAAACTGTGTGTGAATATTTTACTTTAAAAGGAACACATGCTTTCTGATGTCTGAGACATTTGGTTGGAGACTTACCACTATGACCTCCATGAAGTCAAATTACTATTTCCTAAGTAAAAAAAAAAAAATTCATGAAGCATTGGTTATTATAAAATATTATCTCTATGCTTTCCTTCCCATACCCCCATAAAATGGAAGACATACCTGTTTGATCCAATTTCAGTATAAAGATTTATATTATTTGTTTCAGTTCTTCTTGACAAAATATAAAACAAACAGGACACTTTTTTCTCCAAAATCAAATACCCTACAATTTTTGCTATCCTATGAATAACACTATAGAAACCTATAATAAATAATGTATTAATGGGGAGACTTCATGGCTCAGTCAGTTGTGTGTCTGACTTGATTTCAGCTCAGGTCATGACTAGGGACATGGGATTGAACACTGCATTGGGCTCTATGCTGAGCATGGAACCTGGTTGGGTTTCATGTTTGTTCTCATTCTCTCTCTCTCTCTCTCTCTCCCTCCCCTCCCCCCCCACCCCCACTGCCCCTCTTCCCTGCTCATGCTCGCTATCTCCCTTTCTCTAAAATAATAATAATAATAATAATAATAATAATAATAATAACGCATTAATTATATTTCAAGGCTTTCCAGCTTAGGAAAGAGTGATTTCTAGCCCACATGTCTCAGAAATCAGAGCTGAGTTTGTTTGACAGAAGCAGGAGAAAGATGATTGGGATGTGATTGCCCCAACTCTTTGTAAAGGAAATAAAACTACACACAAATAACAATTACCCACTGAGAAAATAAATTATTTACATGGTGGATAAATTATTATAGTTAAGTAGAAAATTTTTCTTTCTTAAGGAAGTTAAAACAGACAAAACCAAAACCAAAACAATTCCACTAAACCATTATATAGTCATCTCTGGTACTAAAGGCTCACTTCTAGTAGGGATTTCTGCCTTAGAGTTGTGACAGTAAGGATTCTATACAAAGGAAGAAACTTATGCAAGCTTTAAGGTAGGTTCTTTTAAAATGATACTTAATTTTATTGAAGTACATCAATCTAGCATTCAAGATGAGATTGTGAAAAGCAGCTAGTGCATAACTATGATAATTCAGAGCTTCATAACATGTACTATGAACTTGTGTTTAGACTTGTATTTA